ACTGCAAATGTACAACGTCCCTATCTCACTGGCAATATACGACGTCCCTATCTCACTGCAAATTTACAACGTCCCTATCTTACTGCCAATATACAAAGTTCCTATTTCACTGCAAATGTACAACGTCCCAATCTCACTGCAAATGTACAACGTCCCTATCTTACTGCCAATATACAAAGTTTCTATTTCACTGCCAATGTACAACGTCTCTATCTTACTGCCAATATACAAATTTCCTATTTCACTGCAGATGTACAACGTCCCTGTCTCATTGCCAATGTACAAAGTCCCTGTCTCACTGCCAATGTACAACGTCCCCGTCTCACTGCCAATATACAACGTTCCTATTTCACTGCAAATGTGTATATGTAGAACGTTAATATCACTATCTCACTTTATATTAATATCACTTTTTGATAATTTAAATAGAATGCCAGGAGGTCGTAGAGTATTTAAACGATGTTACGAGATTGTATCTCTGGTCAAATGAAAATTCGTATTACGCAATAATTATTTATGTAGCTACCCAGAGACATGAACAATTCCCCGGGCAGGTCTTGTATCTTGTAACTCAGTACGCAACTGTTTTACTCTAGATCTTCTACGAACATTTACATGTTTCAATAGCAACTACACGTTTGTTGTATGGTCGACATACGCATAATTAGACTCTGACTGAGACTCTGAAGAAATGTTTTTATAATAGGTAGCTATATTCAAATCTAGCACTGTACGATGTAGAATGGCACGGTGTGATATTTTTTTGCTAACACCAGTGATAGGGTCAGTGGGTGGTATAGCATTGGCACCACACAACGCAAACCATTACACGTAGTCGTGATAAAAAGGGTTGAAGTGTGTGTTAATCAATCACCCACAAGATGTTCTCGTGTAGTTTTAATTCGATCACGCATGGACTCCTGGTCGAGAATCCAACAAATGACGTGACTGTATTAAATAAGTGAAAACTTAAAGCGTGTGTCAAATTAGTCGTTATATACACGTATAGCTTTACTGGACTCGGTTAACTTTATCACCAAGTAGATTTACGTTATTCGCTGTTTATTGCACAGCTAGATTATAATACGAGCATTAAAGGTTTACCAATACTATACACGGAATGCAAACCGATGATTTATTTGGGTTTGGAATAATCTGATCTCACTCACGGTTCTGATAACGAACCGGTGTACAGTAACGATGTGATCAATCGGGAATCGACGCAACTGTCATATTTAATCACTGGTTGAATGTATTTTTTCTTCATCTTTTTTTTATTTCGATTGCTTAGTTATTATGTAATTCTTATAATTAGGTACTCACCACACTCCTCAAAATCCATTTCCTTAATGTTCCTGAGACTGTGTATGACTACCCGCAGTCTATCAAGATTGGACTGATATGTCAATGTGAAATTAATCTCTCCTAGAACTGCCGTTGCCTGAAATCAAATGTAATATATGAATATAAGATTGTTATATGAACCAATATCGCATTAGTATGTATAGTAGATTTTTGCAAACTTAGAGCTTCTCCCAGTAATATAGAAACGTATTCAGTAATTTAATTGCCGTTTTAAGGTCAGATTTCGTTTGGCAAAATAAACTTTCATTTTGTTTTATAAAGGAGCGCAAAAATATATTGATTACATTCGTGTTCCCTGTAGACACGCATATCATACTAATATAGACTATCGCGGTCTGTGTCAGCCAGATACACTAAGGATAATACGATGCCATCTTGCCTATTGATTGCCGCGATTATCATGGATACTATCGAGGCACTGTTAACATCGTGACGTTGCTATTGTTACTCGCATTGTCATTAGCGTCACTGTCATCAAATCAACAGCCTTGCGATATTTTAAACAAATTTAAATACGGAATTAAAAACTCAGCCTCTCCGAGAAGGTCTATATTTCAATAATGTACATGACACGAACATTAGTACAATGTTGAGTACAATATATAACTCGATGTGTCCACCATTTTCACTTTATAACACGATGAATACCTCCTCCCTTGGAATCATAGGGCGGCATAATAAAGTCCGTATTTATTCAGCAGTTACAATTATTCCAATATCTGTAAGGGAGGTTTTCAGCAATTATGCGCAATGAGATTAGAACAAATTTGCGCCAATTACACTATCGCCGGTGGTATGGCATATTAATCACACACGGTCGATTTACTTAATCAAATGATTGGTGACTCGAGATACTCGTTTTAGTAATTTGCCGCTGGATCTTAGCTTGTAAATGTCATATGGTGCATGGAGCTCATAACTTGACTAAATTTCAATTGAGACCACAATAAAAGCAACCTAACACTTAATTTCAGTTAATTTAATAATATTAATCGTTATGTAATACACTGTTTTT